ACAGAGCCTGTCTTTGATCCTAGTGGCACCCCGCTGGCCAGCGAAGTCTTGGTARGCCGAGATAATCAGCTTGCTAGCAGCTCAACCCTGGCAACTTCCAGTTCGACGAGGTCTCCTCTCTCAGGCAGAGGGGGAGATTTTTCACCCACACCCAGAACTATGGAAGCTGCATGCTTACCTGCTGAAAGGTCCAGCTTATTAGCCAAAGGCCTTTCTCCAGCAGTAATAGCAACTATCCAAAACGCAAGAGCTTCATCCACTAGAGGATTATATTCCTATAAGTGGCAAGCTTTTGAGCGATGGTGTAAGAACGGGCACCTGGACCCTTTTCAGTGCGCAATAGGAGANTCCTACCCTTGTGTCAAGATGCCCCACAAGGCCTCAGTGTTGAGACTGAGGCCTCTGGGGTCATTTTAACCCAAGGGTAGCAGGAGGGTTAACTTCATACATCATTTGGTGGTGTTGGAAGTGGGCACTAATGGTTCCTTTTCAGTCATTTCACTCAGTACAACACACAGTTGTATATGGGACACGCGCGCCCTCCCGCTCCTGACTGATGCCACCTCTAATCACGTCTTTAGACCGGTGACGTTGAACGTCGGGTGACAGGCTCTGCCTTCACCCTATAAGTTCGGAGTCACCAGCGTCATTACTCAGTTCTATCGCCCTTCACCTCGCGATAGTCACCTCTAAACCTGAGCTCACATAGCTGCTGCTAGTTAGCTCAGCTTCTAAGGTTCTTAGGCTAGCTTTACTGGTGCTAACRMRGTTACCTGCTYGTTCATGTGTCTGCCGCTCGACGCTACTTAAGTGACCTTTATTTTCTGCTGAAAATCTGTTTTGTGGTTCACGATGAGCACAAAACTACCTTCGAAGAAGCCGAAATCTTCTGTTCGTCCGTGTCTTCAGGCGTGCAGCTTTAAGCTTCATGAGAAGGACCAGCATGAGGCCTGCCTAGGAATCATTCATGCTCGACCGGTGCTTGTGGAGCCCGAGTCCTGCCGGGCCTCCAGAGCAAACACACACTGGCCTCTGTTCCTTTCCATGACAGAGCAGAGCGCTCCTCTGTGAGTGGACGCCCTAGCTCATCCTTGGCCCGATGTACTTCTGTACGCGTTTCCCCCAGTGGAAATGATACCACTTGTACTAGAGAGGGTGCGCGGACAGAGCCTGTCTTTGATCCTAGTGGCACCCCGCTGGCCAGCGAAGTCTTGGTATGCCGAGATAATCAGCTTGCTAGCAGCTCAACCCTGGCAACTTCCAGTTCGACGAGYTCTCCTCTCTCAGGCAGAGGGGGAGATTTTTCACCCACACCCAGAACTATGGAAGCTGCATGCTTACCTGCTGAAAGGTCCAGCTTATTAGCCAAAGGCCTTTCTCCAGCAGTAATAACAACTATCCAAAATGCAAGAGCTTCATCCACTAGAGGATTATATTCCTATAAGTGGCAAGCTTTTGAGCGATGGTGTAAGAACGGGCACCTGGACCCTTTTCAGTGCGCAATAGGAGATGTTTTAACATTTCTTCAGGAGCTACTGTGGTTCTTGAGGCTCTCTGCGACCCTCCATTTGAGCCTCTAGAGTCTGTAGAGTTGAAGTTTCTTTCATATAAAGTTGCTTTGCTTCTGGCTTTAGCTACAGCTAAACGGGTCGGGGACCTCCAGGCTCTGTCAGTGAACCCCTCCTGTATCCAGTTTTCTACTAATGASTCTAAAGTGGTTTTGCACCCTAACTCTGCATATCTTCCTAAGATGATACCTTCTAGTTACAGCTCTATGTCTATAGAGCTTTCCAGCTTTCATCCCCACCCTTTTGCATCTGAGYAGCAAAAGAGGCTGCATCTTCTGTGCCCCGTACATGCTCTATGCACTTACATCAGCTGCACACAGGATGTAAGGTCATGTGATCAGCTGTTTGTGGCTGTTGCTAACCCACACAGAGGTACAGCTCTTTCTAGATGAAGACTCMCTCGCTGGATTGTAGAGGCRATCTTGCTAGCATARAGCAGCAKAAACCTTCCAATCCCTCTTGGAGTTAAAYCTCACTCCACCAGGGTTGTAGTGACATCTTGGGCCCTTTTTAAAGGGGTACCTGTGAGTGACATTTGTGCCGRGGCCAGCTGGGCCTCACCAAACACATTTGCACAATTTTACAGCCTGGATGTAACAGCACCTTCGGATAACAGCTGGATAACAGCTGCACATCTGTCATGTTTATTTGCTGTGATAGACTCAGAAAAACCCAAACTGGCCTTCTTTTTGTGGCTTTTAATATTTATAGTATTTGGTAACTTAGATGAGATTTTTATCGCAGTGTAAAGTGAATTTATATCACTCAAGGCTTTAGTTTATAGTGAGKCTGGAGAAGTTTTTTATTGCGCGACAACAGGTTAAAAATAAGCATGAACTTTGCAGTTTTATGTAGCCCAAATCAATGTTATGTTGGCAAATTTACCATAAATCTAGCTTTTTTTCCCCATTTAAGTCTTTCTTTAAAACACACAATAAAAATYGTTTTAATTCCAAAAGGACAATCACAATAAATTAGGACTTAGAATATTATTACATCTGTGATACTGAGGACTTTTTTTTTGATTAACCCCAAGTTCAACCTGCTATGGAACAATGGCTTGAAAACCGAAAATACTTGAAAGAATGTGAAACAGGTGGCACATTTAATAGAGAAATTGAAAAATCTGTGACATAAYTCAACATATAAAATAAAGTAGCATCTTTAATGGGCTTCTTATTGATCTCTGTATTAAAATCAAAATAATACAATCACCTCCCAATTCAGCTCCAGATAGAATGATGACCAGCTGCTTTCAAGAACACATTCTAGTTTCTTGCTAAAAAATTAAGAATATTTTATTTGTAAAAACCCATAAGGTTCTCACCATTTTCAGAGCCTGTTTAGGTGTAAATCTTCTGAGTGWATTTCAGGCTGATAATGTTCTTTGCGACTCTCAGGGTTTTGGCTGAATACAGAGAGATGAGTTAAAGGTTCTGGAAAGATTGCAGCTGTCGTATACAAGGAGGCTGAATCGTAAATTTGTCTCCGGAGCTGCATACTGTGCATTTTTGTTGCAGTGCGAGTTCTGAACTTTTTTTTTACTATATCTGAGTTTTAGCTAAGCGGTGGTTGTTACAAGATGTCTTCTTTAAAAGCTGTCTGGTTTACAACAATGGTTTATCTCCTGCTCTGATCATTTCTCTGTTCACTGTTACTTCTTTCATGGTTTCAAAACTGTAAACTAGATGCCTTTGATCTCAACTGCTTGTATTTTTTTATGGATCATTGTTTATTTCGACGTTAAGCTTTGATTCACACARCGGTTCTAAAATAGGTTTGGGTTTTTTGCATGCTTGATGCCATGTCAATTATCAAAGCTTTTCACAGCTGAGAAAAAAGACAACAACTCGATATTATCCCCAGATTGATGGYGATTGCAGCACATAAGTGGATGTTTATGCTATAGCATTAATAGGTCTTTTTTGTTCATTACCTGCATGATTGCTATTGATCTGCCAGAGGCTGTTTTAAAGGGGTTTTCAGCAGCACTGCGAAAACTCTGCATCAATATGATACGTTACGGCACCGTAATGTATCAGATTTCTGTTTACAGTAATATATTATGTTGATCTGTCCTTCTGTATGAAATCATGATGGGCTTTTTATGCAAATACAGAATATTATGATTGATGCGGAGGAACTTGGGTTTAATTCTTTTCGTTTCCATTTCAGKTGTTTTTCAAACAAATAGATAAAAACCTTGCTCAATGGAGAGGTATATTAAATATGTCTAAAAGAATTAAAACGTGGAGGCTTGAAGAGTTTTGTCACCAAAACTTCAGAGTGTGTATACTTGATTATTGAGTTTAAGATTAAGTTTGTTTAAAASTGTACATACGTTGTCAGAATATAGTGGTAGGGCAGCTGACCTGGGACCAGAAAGTCACAGGTTTGACTCCCCGCCATGCTCACATGACCAAGACGCCRAATCCCTATCTGCTCCCTGGGTGCTTAAGCYTGATTTAATTAGATGTTAGAAATTCAACTTAAAAGCATCTATATAGAGTAAAAGACTGGTGGGTTCAGATCAGTAAAGCCCAGCGTTCAAAATAGTATCAAAACTCGAGGTTTTCATATGTGGGCTTTTAACTTTTTAGCTAAAGGCTAAATTTAGCTGCTCCAGAGTCTGGAAAGAAATGTTTATGCCTTTCCATTCCACTCAGTTTTTATTTGCTTCATTTACTCTGCCACTTGTTTTTAACTGGCAGCTACAATCATCTCTTGTATTGTATATACGACTTAGAATTTATATTGTAAATCAGGGGTGTTTCACTTATTTTGACAGAAGGCCACATGAGCGTTATGGTTCCCCTCAAATTAACTTCAACGTTTCCTGTTTAACTTCCACTAAACAAGCAGCAAGCAAAAATTCAGCTCTACATGATATTCTGTGCATAGAAACAGTGTTTTAACACATCCTCTTATAAACACTGAAAAGTAATATGTATACAACTAACTAAATGTGAAATAAAAATACATAATATTAAAAGTAAAAGGAAGAGTTGTACTCAGTTGAATTCTGAGCTCTAACTGGGAATCCCTACGCATAATTGACATGCATTATTGTAGGTGTAGTTTATGATTTAAAGCAGCTTATTTTGAGACTTTGATACAGGGATATTCAACATAACTGCTCAGGAGGCCACGGGTACTTAAAACCAACAGCTCGGGCCGGATTGATATCGTCTTTCACCTTTTAAATTTGTTTATTTTGTTGCATTGAAGCTTAAATTTAAAGTTTACCATTGATATAAGAACAATTTTCATATTAAATTAGTTCGGACTGAAGCCTCCATTTGGTCTGTGTGTTGCAAATGAAAATCAAAATAACATGTTTTTCCTGCTTGATACGTCAAGAATCATATCTGAACTGTAACCAGTTTATCTTGCTCACTGCTTTGTACGCTAAATTATTCATATTTCTTTCAGGATCCTGTTGGGGAAAATGCCGGAGTCCATGGCCCGGCAGAAGACAGGAAGGAGAAGGTGCCCAGTCCTCATCTGAGCCAGCTGGTGGTCCTCACCAGCAGTGGGACTCTGTACGGGCTGGCACAGAGGGTGGTGGCCACAGAGTCTCTGTAAGCAGCCATCACACAACACTAAGAAGTTTATATCAGCATCTATTCTTGTAWTAAATGTAGATTAACACACATCGGATCAATACTTCTCTGTATATCTGTGATAAATCACATATCGATGTTTAAACTTGATTTGTGTCATTACTGGTGTGATGTAATGTTMCACTAAAGCCCATCAAAGATTCTAGTTCTTGCTTGACAGGAAGTGTTGAACAGCCGGGCCATCAAAGATTTATCCCYCCTCGAACACGTTCTGCAAGGAAGAAAAAAAGTGTTCAGGGTCTCTTCTCATCTTTTAGTCTTCATGTCAAACTCTCTCGATCTTTCCCTCTCTTTAGTTGTTTTTTCTTCATCTCGTTCTGCTCGAGTGGTTTCTCTCCCTTCCCGCCTTAAAAACACACACTGCTCAGTGCCACCCTCACACATAATTAGGTCAAGCCATCATCTGTGCTGACAGCTCCTGGATCCTGAGAGGTCTGCAGTGTACAACAGCAGCTTTATAATGAAAGTCTGTAAAGCAGGGGTTCAGACAACACTGTTCTAAAAACGCTGAATAGGTCTATACCCTCCCACAAAAAAGAAGAAAAAAATAGAGCTAGTTGTGTATTTGTAGCTCTGGAGAATAATGAAAGGAAAACAAGTAAAGTGCAAAGGTCAACAATTTTCTTCGATAAAGATTGAAAAGGAAAGACGAAGTTTGAGGTAGACTTCGAGGCATAAGAAGCTGTTTGACGAGGAAGCGTCATTAAGAAACATGAGCCCCGAACAACCTCTGACGTTTGTCGTTTTCAGCATCAAAAAGCATTTTCTGGTTTCAACAACACGTGAGAAACCTCCTATAGATCTGAGCAGAGAAACCATGTTATTGTTGTTCAGCCCTCCGGCTGTTGTTCTGCTGCTTTAGMTTTTACTAGCCTGATCAGGTAACTGTGAGCTGCTTTTTGTTTTTTCCTCCACACGCTGCTCGGTGTCGCTCAGGCAAACAAGATGTTCCAGCTTAACGTAACATGATTTTTCTCTGCTCGACACAAAGAACCAAAGTCCACTGGGCTCCTTTTTGTGTGTTGGACTGACTCTGAGCTTCTTAATGGTGTTCTCTCTCAGATGGCCGTTGAAGCTGCTTCAGCAATGAGACAGTAATTGATTTGGAGTCATTACTCTGAATATTCCAAGCTGGTGTATTACTCATAAWCTGTTCATTTTATTGCTGACTGAATTCTTAGTAAAGCTGGGTTTAAAGACCAGTAATAGACAGGTAAGGCACTGATGTGCCTAGTCTTGTTATGTTAGTGTTATTTTCTTGAACTATACTTTTCAGTTTTGCCTCTTTTATCTCYTGTTGTGTTGCTTCTGTTAGCCTTGTTGCACAACTTGAGCCTTTTTTTTTGTGCTTGTTTGTTTGAATCAAGATGGAAATCTGAACGTCCGCCCACTTAAACCTGCTKTCTTAGCTTTTATTTAGTTCTTCGCAGCTCGCTCACTTTTGTTTTGTCAGACCAGGATAAACAGGAAGGGGGTCTCCACAGTCACTAAGTGGGAGTTTCTTAGTGTGGAGGAGTTCGTCAAAGACATGATTGTTCYACCTTTGTGGGAGGATTTTGGGAAAGATATGATTGGTTGGGCTAACTATTTAGGGTGGGGTTTGAAGAAGGCATAATGATTTGGCTAGATGAAAGCTAAATTCAGAACTTGTGACATAAAGGTGCTAGCCGCACAAAATTTAAATGTTGTACATATGGAGTGACATATATAAATTCGGGGTCAAAACAGCCCTTAACTGCCTGGATAAGATCACTATTTTTAATATAAATATTAATATTAGTCATAATTTGAGACAGGAAAGTGCTAGCAGTATAAAATTTGAATACAAAAATAAAAGAAAATACTATTACTTCATACATAACTTGCCCCACAAGACTAGTCAAACTTATCAATCACAAACTCCGCCCACACTCAGGAACCTCCGCCTATATTCCAAACCCCTCCCACCCAATACTCGGCCCATACTTAGGAGAAAATACGTCCCCACTTAAGAACCCCACCAATCATGGTTTGGACAAACTCCGCCCACACATGAAGAAACTCCCCCATGTCCTGCCAAGACCCCTACTTAGGATAAACAGTGAAATGGCTGTTTTGGTTCAGACTGCATTGCAGTTTAAGAATGAATTGAATTAATCCCATTTAAGATTTGATTTGTTGTGATCAAATAATACTTTGCTATGGGAAGTGAGCAGTGAAATTGGAAATGTGAGGTTTTCTGGACAGTGTTGCTATAAATTTAAAAAAAAAACTGAGGATGATTTATGGCGTGAGAACCCTGAAATCTGTTCAGCTAAATAATTTAATACATTAAATTTTATRGATCATGAGACAAAATCAAATTGGTGGAACAGCGAGTTACAGATGAGCCGTTTTATAGCATATTTTTATGTTACTGAGCAAACATCGCTGAAGGTGAAACTACAACACAGAATTCTAGCTGTGCCATCAAACATGATAAATCTACTAACAAAACAGGATGAGCAGAATTTATGAGAAAAACGTAAAGTAAAAAAGACAATAAAATATTAGTAGTTTTACAGGTTGCTTATTGATTTTTTTTCCTTTACGTTGAAGTAATTTGTGAAGCTATTTAAACTTTTTTTATTTGCTGCTACAAAACCTAATTTGAGAAAATATGAAACCCCTGCTTCAATGTATATTTTGTGTTTTTTAGTGTGTTTTTAGCTGAGCAGTTTGAGTCCCTGCAGTCCCACTTGGACACAATGATGCCTGCAGCTAAGAAGCCTTTCCTGCAACAGTTTTACTCACAGGTACTGTAAAACTAAATGATCCTGACCAAAATACCAAATTGACTTTAATCGTGTCAARATGGCCAGCTGTGGTGGCACTACATGATTTATGTTTTTCTTTTACATGTTTGTTTGTAATTAAAAAAATATTCTAATCAGTGGAAAAGAGTAATTTAATCAGTTAACATTTTGATATATATTTTTTTGCTTTTGAGGCTTGTAGCTTCAAAAAACCTCAAAGTTGTAATAAATTTGCTTGAATTAATAGCTTTAATAATAACTTACAAATGTATGCATAAAGTAACTTTTAGGTATGACTTTATACTTGTTTTTGTCTTTTCTTTTATCTTTTTTGTTTGGAGTATTTTGCCTTTTTATTGTGCAACACTATGTAAATTTATTCAAGAAGATACATTTATCTCGCTTTTAGAAAAAGCTTTTTTTTAAATTTGGCTTAAGGATAAACAAACTATTTAAATTCTTCTTTATTTATCAATTTGTTTTCTCACAAACAAGACTGTCCCTCAAACAAATATGCAGCTTTAATCCTTAGTTTTTATGTTCACTTGATATATATATATATTTTACATATTTGCTGTTTTTTTTAAATACCAAATAAATGTCATCCCGATTTATTTTGTCGTTATTTAAATCTTCAATGATGTATTTAATGTTAAACAAAAAAGCTGAAAAAAATATTTTTGTTGACTTTACATATGCAGACGGTTTCTACGGCCAGTGAGCTGCGTAAACCYATATACTGGATTGTTGCAGCCAAGGCCATCGACTACGAACAGATGCTGCTCCTGATGGCCGGAGTTAAATGGGACATCAAGGAGATAATGTCGCAGCACAACGTATATGTGGACATTCTGTTGAAGGTAACTTGTCATGTGAAAARGTTCCTAAAAGATATATTTAACAAAATCATCATGGGCTTTTCAAACCCTTCTCAAACCCCTTTCAGTTCYGTCTCTAAGATATTAAACTGTGACCAAACTGAGACATAATTAATCCTCCTGCTGCCCTTTGGTCCAAGTGACCCACAAGCCTTTTTAAAAGTGAGTCGTCGTGGGTCATTTTGAACCAAGGGCAGCAGGATATTGAAGACATTTTGTGGCTAAATTGTGACAAAAATGAAATTACACCATTTTCAGGAATGTTGCAGGCATTTCAAATTTTATTTGCAGTTAATTACGCACATAATACCTATATATATATATATATATATATATATATATGTACCCCACAAAAGCACTATTTTTTTTCAGAATATACCTTTATTATTTGATAAAGAAGTGCATGGATCAGCTGTAAACACTGCACTCCAACCTATTATTTATCCACCCGGAGTGACATAAAAGGAGCGCTACGACACGTGAGTCTCCAAACTGCAGGCYTACAATCTTGAAAGTTTTACACTGTAAGTACCGTGGTATTCTKTGTAAGTACCGTGGTATTCTCTATAAGTACTGTGGTATTGTCTGCAGGCCARGAGTCAGTTTAAGTAATTCTTCTGTGAGAAACAATTACAACCAGACATTTGATTACTCAAGTAAAGGAGAGGTTATGATATGTAACATGCGCTTCTATTTTGAAAAGTAAGAGCATGTTGGCATGGTGTAAGTTCACCAGACAAGCACCATGACACAGGAGTCTCCAAGGCTACACTCTTGTGTTACTCATAAGTACATGGTCCCAAAGTTGAGACTCTTCTGACTCACTGGTAACCTAAAGATACTGAGCGCTGCATCATAAAAGTTTTCAAACTAAATGTGAATTGGCACGAGTACCGCATTTTGTTAAATGTCTCATCTGTATTACGCTCAGCCTCTGTTTTAAATCCAGGCTGGAGACAATGTTGCAACAAATTTCAGCTGCATTTAACAGAGATCTCCTCATTAAGACTGTTGCATCATTTATGCCACAAAAAATCCCTCTTTACTTTGTGTGGTGAATATAAATGATTGCTCCAGGACTCCTGGTCTCTTTGTTCAGACTTCTAACTGTGAGAAAGTTTCAAAATTACTGCAATTTTTTTTATTTCTTTACTCAAACTTCGAGTCATTCATCATTCAGGACACTCAAACACAAAACACACCGAACAACTGGATTAAATTTGCTTTTAAGTCACGGCATATTCAAATGTCTTGTCTAAAGTGTAAAAATGTGTTTTTGCTCTTGAGTTTAAAATCTTTTAGAGACCTTTAATATCAGTTGTTTGGGATTGGATGAATAATTTATGAGTAGTTTTTGTTGAAGACACCTGATCTTAGCAGCCTTACAGGTATTTTTGGAAGTTTTTCCCTAAATGTGTGTCTTTATTCACGCCGCCCGCTCAAACTATCGTGAATTTTTCATGAAGGGCAAAGGACACATAATCCACTCCAGTCCCTTTTTTTTATATTCAGTAAAAACTCCAAAATCTGAATTAAATATTAATGAATTATAAAAAAAAAAACGAATACTTTGTTTCATACTTTTGGTTTAGTAAAAAAAGGGAGCTTTTAATTAAAAATGAAAAGGCACAAGTTGAACTTCAAARGTGCATTTTATGTTCTTCTTTTACATGTTTCATCACCGAAATAATCATGTAATAACTGTTACAGCAGTACTTAATAAAAAGTGAATCCTCCTCACCTGCTGCCTTTCATCACAGCGATTTCAGCCATACTTTACAGCCATATTATTTGCAGTRTCATGATATTGCAAGATATTGCGAGCCGTATTAGTGATCAAATYCATTAAACTTCGACTCAATAGCAGTAAATTTGTTATCACCATTTTTGTTTTGGCTGACGTTGATTAGCTCAGGCAGCCATCTTCAATTAAAATYACTAAACATTAATCAGTTGTACACCCAGTGACTACTTCTTGAAACTTTATTCAYATACAACTGGTGGTTCATGGGTTATTTTACAGAGTTGACTTCAATAGATAATGYCAAAGTTGGTCATCAGTTAGCTCCCTTAGTATAAGTTGAGCATGACTCTCAGCTGCCACATAAAATTTCTACTCAGTAGCTGTAACTTTGGCAGAGTTGTAGTCATTGTATTTGCAAAGGTCAATGAGGTATTGAATAGAGGAGCCATGCACGCTTCGGAAGATTGATCGCTGTGGTACGAGTGCGACGCCATATTGGAGGGGCAAGCTGTTGATGTAAATATTTTCTTAGCTAGCTGTCCACACAGAATTGCATCTAAATATTATCTTTTCATTGGTTAGTTTCTACCTGTTAGAAACATTATTAAGACTCATGTACTTCGGCAACATGTTCTTGTCTGATATGTAATATGATGTACTTACATGCATTTCTACCAAATGATGGTTGTTAATAAGCAAACTGAGTCTCATTGATGTGCTGACCTAAATTTGACATGTCATGGTTACCACATTKAGCTTCACCAGCTAACGGTCTGTTTTCATCGAAAAATATGGCCTCTCTCCAACCAAGAAAAAACACATATTAAAGGAGCTGCCCACTGCTTTCATTATYGCCAGTGTACCTCATTGACTAAAGTGGCTTAGCTGTGTCYGCCATCTTGAATGTAGTTGACTCCAAAGGTTAAGGGTTGTATATGAGCTTCCAGTTTGTTTGATTTAAATTTCCAGTTTTATTAACATATGTCTACTGGTTAATAAGAWATTCTGTAGAAATGACACGTGAACACAGGGACACGACACAGAGAAAAACATTATCTGCCTTCATCTACAGTGGTGGGAGATACGTAGTTTATTTTATAAAACGTTAATTGTATTTTGGGCCTTGTTTTTTAACTAGACACAATCTAACTCAAGGTAGTTGTGTAAATGTTCAATCCTACTGACAAAAAAGGCTTTTTAACATGACATTTTACAGGAAATGGTGTTTTAAATGGCAACAATTGATGTTCACATTGTGTTCTTTTTACATTTAATCAGCCATCACCRTCACCCAAAGCTGCTACAAGCTCACAAAACGTGTCGTACAAAATCATCAGTCACTCATCAAAAAAATCGCACAAACTAAATATCCAACCTTTTTTTTTCCTCTCATTTTTCAGAAATGAAACCTTACCTCTCCGTGTTCCCAGTGTTCATCGATCTTTCTGTGGCACCGGCRGTTCTGCCGTTTAACTTAACTAATTTTGTTCATGAGGCAAAGTGCCTGAGAGGAAACCCCATCTCAGCGGCTCGCCTTTAAACGCCTGACTGTCAAACGAGTCCAGCTGATGGACCGACGTGAAGTACATTACAAGTCACATGTATTTCCCCCCCATCAGGTGCTAATAACCGGCCTCGTCAACATGCCGTACGCTCCTACAGGGCTGTGTTCCAGAGCGCTGCACACACATGTACAGATATTTTATTCATGAACTCGGGTTGATCACTGTCATTCCGCTGTGATTTGCATATAAAGTGACAGAGAAATGCAGCAGCCTCAGAATGACTGCAGTGACAAAATGCTCCAGTCAGAAATGATTATGAGTCTGTTTGCAAATGAATGACATCTCATTTCTGGGTGAAAAATGATTGGAAATGTTAGTTTTAAAAAGCCAGTCTTTTGTTGTTGTTTTTTATTATTCAAATTAGACTGGAAGTTGTCAAAAACACATTAGAAAAGATGGTTCAGATCATATCTATGCAGTTTTTATGTGCTGTAGCTCACAGCTGATAAAACAATGTTATAAACTGGACAGTTTCATCCCTAATTGAACATTTAAAAGTGAATAAGTGGAACTCCTTCAGTGGGAGATATTTATGGCTAYAAGCAAGTTGCATCAGAACATAACACACAGAACGTACCTTTGGGTCCCTTGTGACTCAAACAACCTGGTACAAGTTTGTATCCCACCGTCTTCATCTTCCTCTGGGATGTTTCCTCTTAATGCTTTGGTGCTAAAACATAARGACATTTGGAGGCAGTACTGTCCTCTATTTGCTGCTTTGATGCCCAAGAGTTTTGATCTGTTATTTTTTTAAGAACGGTTGCTTTAATTTAAATGAATCTTTTAGAAATTTACATTCGTCTTCAGATTGTGCCAGATCTAAACATACTGTACACAAAACATAAACATTGTTGTGAGTTTCTACTAATCGGCCATCTCTTTTCATAAAGATATTGTGGCTCCATCTGTCCAAACAGCCAAAATATAATTAAAGCTTTTTTTTTAATATGTTTCAGGATTGTAGCCAATACAATATTGTGCATCTATTGCTCTAAAATGTATGTTTATTATTTTATTATTATGTTTGCATATTTTATTACTTTATTTTATTGCCACTTTCATGAAAGGTTGGGGATAATAAAGCATTCACACAATGAAAATAAATGTAGCTGTCAACATCCTTAAAACTGTTCAAAATCTTAAAATATCGTGTATGTTTTACCGTTTACTCTAGTTCTGCTTCTTAGTTCTAATTTCAGCCTTCTTTGTCTTTTTTTTGCTACTTTTAGCTTTTTGATACTATTTCAGCTATATCCATATTCCACTCTGCTTTTCTACTAATCTCAACTTTTTCTGCTTCTTTCTGCTTATTTAAGCTGTTTTTCAACTTTAAGGCTATTTTTTCAGCTTTTTACTGCTTAATATAGCAAACATGCTCTTTCTGCTTCTTTGTGCTAACTTCAGCTTTTTTAAATACATTTTAGCTATTTTCAGCTCATTTCAGCTTTTTTAGCTATTTTGTCACAAATTGCAACATTTTGTTTCTGTCTTCATTCTACTGTCTTTTTATCATCTGTCTGCTAAATCCATCTTTTTCTGCTTTTTTATCTCCAGCTTTTTCAACACATTTTTTTGATTTTTCACAGATTTACTTTTATTTCCTACTTTCAGCAAACATCAGCTGTTCAAACTGAACAGTTTTGCTGATAAACATTTTCAGCTTCTTCAGCAATTTTCAGCAAAAATCTTTCAGCAATAAACTTTTACACTGCATTTTTGTAGGAAATGCTCATTTTCTAGTTAATTAACTGATCACACCAAATATAGTTATGACACAGTGACATTTGTAGAAATTAAGCCACCGTTTGGTGTGGTAGTTGCTGAGAGTCAACCCCAACAAATTATTTGAGTACCAACAGATAATATGAGATCTTAGTTTAAATTTGGCATGAAAGGCTTTAGGAGAAAAGTGTTATAAAGATATTTTATTCATCCATCCATCTTTGACTGCTCATCTCTTTTTAAATTGACTTTATGTTGAATAGATTTTTTTTAGTTCTCCAGGCAATTATTAGGTGACTTTCCCAGTTCATAACTTTATATATTTTTTGTATTGTGTAGCAGAGAGAGAGCAGAGGAAAACCAAATCTGATGCCGTCATGAAGACTTTTATTTTGTTTGTCTTCTCACGGGGAAATCCAAGATAATAAAGTCCTGCTATGATATTTTTGCTGTGTAGATTTGAGGTCATTCTTGTGGAGAAAATACTTTATGTAAAGTCAGTCACTGTCACTTTATTAAATATGCTTCACAATTGAATACCTGTGTATACACTCACCGGCCACTTTATTAGGTACACCACGCTAGTAACGGGTTGGACCCCCTTTTGCCTTCAGAACTGCCTCACTTCTTTGTGGCATAGATTCAACAAGGTGCTGGAAGCATTCCTCAGAGGTTTTGGTCCATATTGACTTGATGGCATCACACAGTTGCCGCAGATTTGTCGGCTGCACATCCATGATGCGAATCTCCCGTTCCACCACATCCCAAAGATGCTCTATTGGATTGAGATCTGGTGACTGTGGAGGCCATTTGAGTACAGTGAACTCATTGTCATGTTCAAGAAACCAGTCTGAGATGATTCCAGCTTTATGACATGGCGCATTATCCTGCTGAAAGTAGCCATCAGATGTTGGGGACATTGTGGTCATAAAGGGATGGGCATGGTCAGCAACAATACTCAGGTAGGCTGTGGCGTTGCAACGATGCTCAATTGGTACCAAGGGGCCCAAAGAGTGCCAAGAAAAGATTCCCCACACCATGACACCACCACCACCAGCCTGAACCGTTGATACAAGGCAGGATGGATCCATGCTTTCATGTTGTTGACGCCAAATTCTGATCCTACCATCCGAATGTCGCAGCAGAAATCGAGACTCAACAGACGTTTTCCAATCTTCTCTTGTCCAATTTCGATGAGCTTGTGCAAATTGTAGCCTCAGTTTCCTGTTCTTAGCTGAAAGGAGTGGCACCCGGTGTGGTCTTCTGCTGCTGAAGCCCATCTGCCTCAAAGTTCGACGTACTGTGCGTTCAGAGATGCTCTTCTGCCTACCTRGGTTGTAACGGGTGGTTATTTGAGTCACTGTTGCCTTTCTATCAGCTCGAACCAGTCGGCCCATTCTCCTCTGACCTCTGGCATCAACAAGGCATTTCCGCCCACAGGACTGCCGCTCACTGGATGTTTTTTCTTTTTCGGACCATTCTCTGTAAARCCTAGAGATGGTTGTGCGTGAAAATCCCAGTAGATCAGCAGTTTCTGAAATACTCAGACCAGCCCTTCTGGCACCAACAACCATGCCACGTTCAAAGGCACTCAAATCACCTTTCTTCCCCATACTGATGCTCGGTTTGAACTGCAGGAGATTGTCTTGACCATGTCTACATGCCTAAATGCACTGAGTTGCCGCCATGTGATTGGCTGATTAGAAATTAAGAGTTAACGAGCAGTTGGACAGGTGTACCTAATAAAGTGGCCGGTGAGTGTATATAATGCCTGTACAGCATGTCTGCTTCTAAATATGAAGTTGATTATGAATACATACCACAGATCTCAGACAGTTTCTTCTAAATAAAGCATAAAAAGAATTACCTTTATTGCTATTAAAAAGAAAAAATAAGTCGGTCCTCTGGACGGATTCTTCTTTAATGAAACGTTTCGTCTCTCCTCCAAGAGACTTCTTCAGTCTGATTGGAAGAGAGACAAAACGGTTCATTAAAGAAGAGCCCGTCCAGAAGACCGACTTATTTTTTCTGTTACTATTGATTGACTTGATTTGATCCCCTTTTCTGTGTCCTCCTTTAGGAGTTTGAGCAGTTTAACAAGCGGCTGAGTGATGTTTCCAGACACGTACGCATTCCTCTGCCTGTGTCCAACGTCCTCTGGGAGCACTGCATCCGCCTGGCCAACAGGACTCTCGTTGAGGGGTAAGAAAGTCACAACACGGGCCGACAGTCAGTCTTCGGCTGTTGTGATGAAACTGGTGTCTGAATCTTTTAGTCACAAAATGTAAATAATTGATTCCTGAGTCCCTTTTACTTTTCTTTTCTGTATGAAATTGTAACTCAGAGTAGTGTATTGAAATATTTGATGTGCACAGCCTTGAGGTTAACAGACTCATCTTCCATTCAGTTCCCTGTAGAAAGACTTCTCTTTGTATTACCTGTARGCTGCGGTGACCTATTACATATTTATGAGTTAATAATAGCTGGAAAATAAAWGTCACAATCCTCTAAATCAGCAGTTTTAGGACGTGCCAAAAAYCCAATAGCTTCAGTAAATAACAGTCTTATTGGAGCCTCTTTAAGGTGGTTTCTCACTGCCTGGACTGGGACTAGTTGGTGAATGGTGTCAGGAACTAAACCAGATCTACCTATGAGCATTTCAACCTCCAGCAGATTGAATTATAATTACAGGGGGTGACTGAGGTGGGCAAAGATATAATATGTGGTCAAGAATATATTTTTACAAGTCGTGCACAAAAAAATAAGCCATCATTTTAAAAAAATGGCCACTCGAAACACTCAACAGTCAATTGGTTCATTCTTCTGATCATTCTTATACAAATTTATGAATAAGAATATCTAAAAAGAAAAAACTGTTTTATTGTGTAGAAATTACACTAGTTACTTTGGATTTCTTACCTAATGAATGTATTTACTCTAATTGTAAATGGTTAGAAATACTATCCTAAAATTGTTTTTTTTTTTTCAAGTTATAGATAATCAGTACAGTAAAATGTTAGGTTAGCAGTAGTATTTAATGTATTTGTTTAGAATACAGCTGCACCAAATCAAATACTTATTTTTGTTACTGCTCTGCCTGGAGGAACAAAGCTTCAGGAAAACAAAGATAACTTCATCCATTTTTAAGATGCATAAATTATTCAAAATAAAAGAGCTTCCAAGCAAACTAGAAGCCATCAGTCTTGTTTGACATTTGACTACATTATATACAGATTGTTTTGTTTAATTTGACATAATGATGTTCAGTTGGTGTTGTGGACAGGTACAAAKACCTGAGATGTTACATCGATGTAAAAGTGAAAAGTCACTCTGAAAATAATGCTTTTAGTTCTTTGACTGTATTAAAAAGTAAAAATCTTATGCAAGCTACATCATCAAACATGACTAGATAATTTTCTGCAAAAATTCAGCATAAATGCTTAATGCTGAAAGATTTTAGTGGGGAAAAAAAGAAAAAGGTGTGCAAGAATTTTGCAGTTCGTTGTAAAGTATCCCCAAAAAAAGCTTTAATTAGCAGAACAGTAGCTGAATGAGCTGATTCTAGCATAAAGAAGCAGAAAGAGAACATGTTGGCTGAATTAAGCCACTGAAAGAGTTGTCTGAAAGTATCAKTGAAAGGTGACTTTAGCCAAAATAAAACAACACAAAACTAACCAAAAAAAGGGGAAAAAAAGAGCTTAAATTGCAAAAGGAGCTGTAAAAGCATAAAAAGCTTAAATTAGCAAAAAGAAGCAGATAGAAGCACAAAAAATTAAATTTGTGAAATAGCTGAAAAGAGCAGAAAGATGGCTGAAAAGTAGAAAAAAGCTGAAATTAGAAAAAAAGAAGCTACAATTACCACAAAGAAATTAAAAAAGTAGAACCAAACCAAAAAGGTGAAAAGTGCAGGAAAGATTTAACTATTTTGAAGGATTGTAAGGATGTTGAAAACAGCTCCATTAGATTTTAAAGAGAACAAATATGGCCGAAAAGACTAAATATTTCAAAAGGTATAAATTGCTGAGATACCAAAAGTCATAGCCAAAATGTCCAGAAAGAGCTGAAAGTTTTGATACATGAATTATTGAAATATCACAACAATCGCAGAACAAGATACGTGCCGAAAAACATACGGAAGAAAAATCATCTGAATAGTGTAAATGCTCGATTTATCTGTACATCAGACTGCTTGATAGGTTACGCGAAAAAAATATCGACCCGCAGCCAAGTGAATATCAGACTGCGGGTCACATCTCTCACACAAACAGCTCAGGGCTCTTGACACACCCCTTCAAAAGTGTTTTGCCACTTTTTCCCTTGAAAGCAACATATATGGACTGCAACAGTTGACAAAACYTTGGTCCTTTTTTTGTCTTTTGAATGTTGAACCAAGGTATTACACAAAGTAGGTTCTTTTTAGGTGACAGGGGTAATGAATCTATCTGAAGGTCCAGATCAATAAATGGTGAAAAGGTGAGGAGTTAACCACTGGCAYTTATCATGAGGTTTCACACATTTTAATGAGAAGAAGGAAGAAAAGAATGRTGTCACTGAAAACAGCTTATCTTGGCTGCGTTGGAGGGTTTGGAGCCACGAAAGATGTTCTGTGCATTATTGTGCTGCTCGAGTGTTTTAAAAAGGAGGGTGCGGTAAATGTTGGATATTAAGCGTAGGTGGAAGGCTTGCTCCTCTCCACTGAGAAAGGATAACYTGTTTTCCTGCTTGGAAATTTGCTAAACACTTTACTTCTTATTGTGTAAAAGAACTTTTGAACCCACTCCAAAGAGCAAATGTGCCATTACGACTGTGTCGCTCGATCAATTTTACACGGCTACTGCGGGCTCCTACAACCTGCCTGATCCTCCCAGTACACTCCAGAGTAAACAGACCAGCACACACACACACACACACACACACACACACACA